ATAAAAATAATTATAATATAATATTGGTAATTATTAATTACATTATAATAATTACATAAGAAGAACAAAATTAATACATATTATTTTCAATTTAAATAAATTAAAATTTTAAGAATAAAACATATAAAAATTTTAAATAAAATAAATTTTAATTACAATATAATATTGATAAATTTAAAAAAATCAACAATAGTAATTATAATTGTAAATAAATAATGAAATAGAAATATAAACAAAAATTAAAGAATATATAATACAAATTATAACAAAATAAAAACAAAGTTTATTAAATCATTACCTATAATCCATTTACTTGAAATTTTCTCCATTTCCTACAATCATATAAGAAACCAAATAAGTAAAAATATAAAAGAAAGTAAAAAATATTACAATAAACATATATATATAAGAGAAAATTTAAAATTCACCAAATTTTTATAATATCAAACCTACAAAAAAGAAAAAGAAAAAGAAAAAGAAGTTAGTAAACAAAATATAAGTAATAAAAATATACCAATATCCAAAACATTATAACCTTTAAAAAACTTTATAATATGTTATGGAAGTAAAAAAAAATGGAGAGTGGAATAAAAAAAAAAAGGTAGAAGACAAAAAAATGAAAGGGAAAGAAACGGTGAAGACAAAAAAATGAAAGGGAAAGAAAAGGTGAAGACAGAAAAATGAAAGGAAAATGAAAGGGAAAGAAAAGGTGAAGACAGAAAAATGAAAGGGAAAGAAAAGGTGAAGAATAATAAGAAGTGTAGAGAAAGAAGTGAGGGAAGATAGGGGAAGACTAAATAAAAAAGAAAAAAAAAAGGAGTAGAGAAAAAAGAGAGGAAATGAGAAAGAAGAGGAAAAAATAAAGTAAGAAAACCCAGAAACGGGGGAGATGAAGAAGAAAAAAAAAGAGAAGAAGAAGAGAAATTAGAAAAATGAGGAAAGGATTGGGAAGAAGCTGGTAATATACAGGTTTTATTCGGACTGAAATCGATCTGAATATAACAAATAGCGCCAGATAAACCGCCAATGGAGAGCTTCAATTTTTTGGTGAAAATTTTGGCGGTACAAATTTACAGACCAAAATCGGTCCGAAAATAATTAATTACTCAGCTCACTCAAAAAATTTTAATTTGGGGGGAAGTTTGGCGACAAACATATGCGGACTGAAATCGGTCTGTAAATAATTAAGCGCTAACCTTGAAAATTTTAATTTTCCATGAAATTTTATTAAGGCAAAATTTACGGACTGTTCACGGTCCGTAAATTGAAATTTTAATTGTCAATGCACTTAGAACTCAGTTGGTTGGTTATATTCGGACCAAAACCAGTCCGTATATATATGTAGAAGATATACGAACCGACATCAGTCCGTATATATGTAAGACTAAACCTTAAGCTCTCAACCCTCACATGTATATACGGACCGATATCGGTCCGTATATATCTTTATGTAGATATAAGGACCAGTATTGGTCCGGATATGTGTCAAAAATCCCGCCCACTATTTTTTTTTTCATCTAAGGACATACCGCCCCGCTGACCCCGATATTCAAACCAACTACGATCCGTATTGGAATTTGGACCGTTATTGGTCCATATATGTGTCAGAACCATCAATTTTCCATTTGAAATTATCTAACGATGATATGGAATGATATCATTGCAAAACCATGAATGTATAAGTATAAGGTTATTAGATTTAAGGTTAGGTAATGTCCTTTTGGAAGCACAAGCAACTAAAATTGATTTTTTTCGGATAAGGTTAACCACATTAGCATGTAAACATTCGGAATGTTATGGTTTAAAAAGAAAGTAGAACGAATTGAGCACGAGATAAGAAAACAAACGAGAAAGCTTCAGGTAGGTATATATTCGGACCAATAACGGTCCGTATATATATTCGGACCGTCATTGGTCCGGATATTGTACATGATGTTGGGATCGTTGTCGGTCCGTATAGTATATACGGACCGTTGTCGGTTTGAATATATGCACAGCATCTAGAAACTTCTCATCTTTCACGTTTTCAGACCATTGTTGGTCCGAATATACTGTAAAAATCCAGAAGCTTCTCCCAGTGCACTTTTTTGTTTTTTTCATTTAAGGACATCACTATCTTCCCGTGCCCAAATTTCGTTGTCACAAAAACTAATGATGTGTACATCAACATTACAATCCCATGCAACCCCAGAACCATCAATTTTTCATCTAAAATTATCTAACGATGCTATGGAATGATATCGTTGCAAAACCATGAATGTTTAAGTATAAGGTTATTAGATTTAAGGTTAGGTAATTTCCTTTTGGAAACACAAGCAACTAAAATTGATTTTTTTCGGATAAGGTTAACCACATTAGCACGTAAACATTCGAAATGTTATGGTTTAAAACGAAAGTAGAACAAATTGAGTACGAGATAAGAAAACAAATGAGAAAGCTGCAGGTCGGTATATATTCGAACCAATAACGGTCCGTATATATATTCGGACCATCATTGGTTCGGATATTGTACATGATGTTGGGACCGTTGTCGGTCCGAATATATGCACAGCGTCTAGAAACTTCTCATCTTTCACGTTTTCAGACCGTTGTTGGTCCGAATATACTGTAAAAATCCAGAAGCTTCTCCTAGTGCACTTTTTTGTTTTTTTCATTTAAGGACATCACTATCTTCCCGTGCCAAAATTTCGTTGTCACGAAAACCAATGACGTGTACATCGACATTACAATCCCATGCAACCCCAGAACCATCGATTTTTCATCTGAAATTATCTAACGATGCTATGGAATAATATCGTTGCAAAACCATGAATGTATAAGTATAAAGTTATTAGATTTAAGGTTAGGTAATGTCATTTTGGAAGCACAAACAACTAAAATTGATTTTTTTTTGTTAAGGTTAATCACATTGGCACGCAAACATTCGAAATGTTATGGTTTAGAACGAAAGTTAAACGAATTGAGCACGAAATAAGAAAACAAATGAGAAAGCTGTAGGTGTGTATATATTCGGACCAAAACCGATTCGTATATGTATGTAAGAAGATATACGGACTGGTATCAATCCGTATATATGTATGACTAACCCTAAACTCTGAACCCTCACATGTATATACGGACCAAAAACGGTCCGTATATCTTTATGTTGATATACGGAGCGGTATTTGTCCGGATATGTGTTGAAAATCCCCCCTTACTTTTTTTATTTTTTTTTCCTTTTAAGGACATCACTGCCTCCCACCCCGATATTCGGTACATGATGTTGGGACCGTTGTCGGTCCATATATACTATACAAACCGACAACGGCCCAACAGTATATACAGACCGACAACGGATATACGGACTGATAACGGTCCGTATATTATATACGGATTGATAACAGTCCCAAAAGAATATACGAACCGTTACAGTCTGTATATTATATACGGAGCGATAATGGTCCGTATAAAATATACAGACCGATTTCAACGGTCCGTATATGGTAAAATCGAAGCAAAGATTCCCTGGGTCATTTTACGGATCAATTTCGGTCCGAAAATCCAAGAAATATTCGGACTGAAATCAGTCCGAATATTCAAAACTGTCACAACTTAATTCTGATTAGCTGAAGAATATATACGGATCAAATTCGGTCCGTATAACTTATTTATATAGTATTTTCTTCTTAATTTTTTTATTTAATAATTTTTTTTAAAAAAAAAATTATTCAGACCATTTTCGATCTCTATAATATTGGCGCGCTTAATTGGTTTTTGGCGCCAACAATATACGGATTGTAGTCGGTCCGAATATATTGATTAATGGATTTCATCCCACCTCAATATATTCGGACCGTTTTTGGTCCGAATATAAATTTATACGAACTGACTGTAGTCGGTCCGTATATATGCGATCTGAATTATTGATTTTTCTAGTAGTGTTTCAATGTTTTTGAATTACAAAAGTTTAAATTTTTTATTTTTATAAAAATAAATTATTATTAAATTATTTAAATCATTCACATTAATAAGTTTTTTGAGTGATACTGATACTAAGTTAAAGCTTCAGTACTTTAGCTTCCATTCAAAAAAAAAAAAAAGGTTAAAGCTTCAGTACAATACTGGCAATCATAGGGGACAAAAGTTATAGATGCAATTGTTATTTGCACAAACAATTTTAAGAACCATTTCTCCTTATTCGTAAGAAATCTTACCCTTAAGCTACAATGTGGACTTAAAAAAACTTCAATCACATAAACCCAATGTTTTGAAAACCAAACCGAAGGTCAAACCATTTTGACTTCCAGTTCTCGATTTGACCGATTTAACCGGTTAGACCGTTTAAACCACCGGATCAATTGAATATAAATAAATATAATATTATGTTAAAATTTGACACAACATAAGCAGTGGTTCTACTGGTCTGTTCATGTTGCATTTGGTGGAGAAGGCACAGGTTCGAGTCCTCTTGATGTTAAAAATGTAATTATTTTAGTTTTAACCCCTAATTTATAATATATTAACGGATTTTCTTCCGCATAGAAGGTATATCAAATCTAATTTTTTAAATTATTTTATGAAAATGTTAAAAATTAACTTTAAATTAATTATAATCAACTAAAATAATTTAT